AGAATAATCATTTAGTTTACCACCATTTTTATACGGAGTATCACCGTTCAATGCAGCAGATGGAGTCAAATTAATCAAATAACAAGCAGTCATAACAGCTTCACCCCAAAAAGATTTTGGGACTCCATAACTTAACATCAAGCAATGCACTTTATCAAGTATGGTTCTATTCATTATTTCCGCTATCCCATTTTGTTGGGGAGTGTAAGGAACCGTTTTATGTCTTGTTATTCCATTTTCCTTGCATATATTATCAAATTCAGTATTACAAAACTCTAGGCCATTATTAGTTCTCAAAAACTTATAGTCCAAATGCACTTATTCAAGCATGCCTTTAGTTTTACGAACACTCATGGAGAAAGTAGTTCTATGATATTTACCAAAAACACAATGGTCACATAAAGATAAATCAAACACACAATCATTTCCAAAAACACCATTTTCATTAAGAAACTTAATCCACTTAATACCCACATGTGTAAGTTTATTGTACCATTTTTGTGTGTGATCAGCCTTAGTGGAAGAGATAGAGGAGTTTAAACCTCTCATCACTTCGCCATCAATTATGTAAATATCATTTTTCCTAATTCCATTAATAGAAACAAGTGCACACTTAAATCAATTTCAAAATTCAATTTCCAATTTTACCGGTGAAATCATCTTTCTCAAATCTTCCTATTGAAATTAATTTTCTAGACAATTCAGGGTATACCTAACATCTTTTAAAGTATGCACAAAGTCCGTATCAAACCTTAAAGTAATATCACCAATGCCAACGACATTATAAGCAGAATTGTCACACAACACAACATGGCCATCATTTGATTCACACAAATTTTCAAACCAATCTTTTTGTGATGTCACATGAAAAGATGCACCAGAATTGAGTATCCATTTATGTAAATGAGAATTGACAGTTAAATTTAATTCAGCAGGAGAAACAATAGGACTTGTAATCATATAGACCTCATCATCACCACTATCGAAAATAGACGACAATACATTTACCTCATCTCTATCTTTACCTTTTTGCTTATTCTTCTCTTTGTAGCAATCCTTTATAAAATGCCACATGTTCCCACGGCTATATATTTCTTAATCTTGGTCCTAGATTTGGATCTAGGCCTACCCTTGCTCTTCCTTCTACCTCCATTACTACTAGATTCACCACTACTTTGGTAACCATCATGACCGTTTTACCTAAATTGAGTTATACCCCTCATCATGTGAATCTCACTGCCTTTCCTATCATGTTTTTCAGCTCTAATCTCCATCTCCTTACTTCTAAGAGAGTCAACGACAATTTCGAGCGTCAAAGTGTCTCTATCATGCTTAATAGCATTTTTTACTTTCTTATAAGTATCAGGTATAGCATTCAGCAAAATAATGGCCTTATAAGTTTCAGACAGTTAACAATATTTTGAACAAGTTTGTTAAACACGTCTAAATTGTCATCAAGATCTTTTGAAGAATTCATTTTAAATTTGAAAAAACGCTCAAGTAAGTTAAGCTTGTTTGGAGTAGATTTGAGCAAATACAATTCTTCCAATTTTTTCCAAAGTTCTTTAGTGGTTTTCAATTTACCCACTTTTCTCAAAAATGTGTCAGCCAAGTGTAAAATAATTGAGATATAAACAAGCTCATCAACTTCTTTTTTTTGTTCTTTTGAAAAATTAACGGGAAAGTTGTCATCAATAGCTTTTGAAACCTTTTGTTGGACCAAAATACCTTATTTTTTGTTGCTATATTGAAAAATCACATTTTTCGTTAAAGGTTTCCAAATCAAAATTGTGTGTTGTCATTTTTAATAATCACTAAAAAATACAAGGTCACAATTGAGCCACACAAAGTAGACCTAAGTTCGCAAATATACACTGTTTTAGATTCCCAGGGTTTCATAAGATTCACGATTTTATATCAATGAAATTTTCAAACGGGTAAGATCTAGGTATTCTAATAACTTAACAGTGTAACAAGAGATACGTCAACTAAACAGTTTAACTCACAATATATCACAAAAGATAATATACTGCAATTTATCAAATGAACAATTTCAATCACGAAGTAACGAATAGCAAGTAATTCCTAATTTCTAGCACAGGCAATGGTTACCCCACACGGTAACCCCAATCCTATTGTCAACCCACACGATGACGCGCTAGTGTTAAAATTTAAACAGGATTAGCCAATTTACCATAGCGGACCTGTCTGAGTCCGTAAATTAGGAGAGATGCGAATTTACTGCTTTAGGACCGCGATTTTTTGCCTAAAGTAATTCAGTAAATGTATGGCAGTTTCGACCGTCAACCCACCAAGGGCAAAATCATCCAACTTTTCATGCTTAACCCTAAACGCGAAAACAATAATAACAGTATGTTCAGGAAAAGAAAATAAGCAAATTGCCTAAAGAGAGCTCTGCGAGATCAGTTTCCACGTGCCGCCGCCGGAGCCACACCCGCCTAACTGTCAGTTGCACCTCAGTCTGCAGAACCCTCATGTGGTGGTGGATTCCTCAACCGACCACTGGTTTGGCCGGAAAATCAATTTGAAGGTTCGATTTTTTCTTTGCAAAAAGCTGGGTAGTGGTTTCTTATCGGATTTGGATCTGTTTTTTCGCCCCGAAAACACACCAGCCTCGCTTTGATACCAAATGTAGAAAAAGGGACTCCAAACTTCACAAAATCCGGGCTCAGTATTGAAGTAATCGACCACCACAAGGCCAACCAAATCACGTAACCAAAACACCCAAATCGGTTGCTCAACTGTTACCACAAAGAGCTGAGTGTGGGAGATTATGGAAGCTCAAAAGTCAGCCACAAAGGCTAAGGTAAGAGATGAAAACAAGCACAGGAAAGCACACAGCAAGACTAGAAGCACGAAGACAAAAGGGGGCAGTTTTCTCTCAAGACACGACTACCAAATTTTCACACACTACCATCAACAGTCACGGGGCGAAATATATAAAGGGGTTAGGTATGAGCTTTTAGGTTAGGAAATAATAAGGCCCAATAGGAATAAGTGGGCTGTCAACCAGATAAGTCATCCAAGTTTTGGGTTGAGCCATGAATATCACTAATTTAATTATGTTGCTTCAAATGACCCTATGATTGCTTTAGACAATTGTGATGTCGATATATATTCAGTCATTTGGTCGATGCCAACTGAATAAACCACTTCCATCATCGTCCGGGAGGTCGTTTGACAACAATTTGCCTAACACATAGTATGAAATGTGATTAAAGAAACCATTATAGAATGCAGACAAATTAGAGATGATAATATTGCTCCATATATAGGACAATTGAATGATGCACTTCAAACATTTTCCATCTTGATACGATCAAGATTCATGCAAATGCATTATATTAATTTGATTGATTAACAAGCTAAACACTTCAAGTGCCAAATACCATGTTAGCCATTGCTTAAGAATGTGATTGACCACTGACATATGCTGTATGACGCACATCCCAAATCCCAACATATAACAAATTAATTCAAGCAGTTACTTGCAATATGATGGGCCCCAAAATCCAGATCAGTTAAACATAAAACACACTCGTATTGTGATTTGTGAGTGACAAGAGAAGATGCGAGTCATCTCTACCATAATATCTAAGCATTGTGAAGAAACAAAAAACCTTTTACTTGAAATTAGTTCATGTTTGGTCCATATTATTTTTTTCATTCTCATTATTCTACTCATTTTCAACCACACATTCTTCAATAAAATAATATTTTTCATCACATCCATAACTTTTCCTTCTTTTTCAACCACATATTTTCCATCACATCAATAGTAAAAATGCATTCTTACCTTCAAAATGTGCATCAAACGGGAGCTTAATCTTAACTCAAAGAAATTGCTTTTGTTAATGATAATGCATTCAATCTAAAATATGCAAGCATGCCACATAAATACATACTAGTATCACTTACAGTTTCAGGCCAATAGAGTAAGTAATGTCATCCATAACCAGACAATAAGTGAGTTAGCATGTAGTTCTTGCTTTCATATTTGCATTACTGGGCCAACAGGGACTTACTCTCACAAGCATAACAAGGAGAACAAGAAACAGCAAGTTATTCACGGTGTCATTCCTCACAAGAAAACATGGCAATAGAAAAGGAAAATTTCTCACTCAAATAGATGGATAGCATGTTTGGCTTTGCTTAAAAGTAGCTTTTTAGCTATTTTTTTAGATGTACGTCTCTCCATACTTCTTTAAAAAGTAGCCTTTTAGCTTGTCAACATCTTGAAATCAAATATATATATTGATGCTCATCTTACAATAGACCATTAGACATATTCATTGTCCAAAGCTCCGACATATTCACAATGTGTATAACTATCATCTATGTATGATACAAATGAGGAAAGTTCAAAAAATACCACCATTGTTTTGTATGAATATGCCCACATTAAAATTAATGATGAACAATTAATTAATGAAAGTTATGGGATATGCATTATGGGACAATTTGCTGCTGCTCAAAATTACGCTTGCTTTGCCACCTGGTCATGTTATGTGCAAGTGGGGCTAGCCACTTGAGCATTTCATTAAGCCTCTCCTTCCAATCATGGGCTACTGGCGCATCATAAATTGCCAGATCTTTAACATAAGATTTCAATTTAATCTTAAGTCTTTCTTAGGCGACTAATGTTATTCATCCCCAGTGGGGATGAAAACACAGTTTAGGTGGTTTTAAATTATAGGTTAAATGAAAGATGAAATTAAATGACTTATTTAATTTCACATATCATTTAATGACATATTAACGCCACTTAGACTGTGTTTTCATCCCCAGTGAGGATGAATAGCATTACTCTTCTTAGGCTTGCTGGAAGAATCTGATATAAATCATCTCTAGCCTCTTCACCAACTAGATGTGGGTAGCGGAGCAGTTTCTCTATAACAATTATAACATTTGCGTAACGCGGGGCTAAAGCAGAGCCTCCAACAGTGCTGGGGAGCGCATACATAAACATACTTTTAGGCCTAAACCTCGCGCCATTTCAACCCAGACTTAAACAGCCTCTGGTTTCCGCTGAAAGGATCGCCATTCAAGGAATGAATGGAATAACCAGAAAGAATGTGTTGCTCTCTTTTCACGCCACTTGAAATGCTACAGTATCCTGAAATTTGGCTGCTTGGATCATCATGCATGACTAACATAGTCATCATCATCCACTTTCAAAGTCGAATTACTCAAACATTCCATAAACATCCTCCGTGGCCCCATACCACATGCAAGATTATCGGGACCAAACAAGCGGTCATCACTCTTCTGCAACTCAACCAGAGGCCTAAAATTTACGAATAATTCTGTTTGAACAGAATTATATATTCCACAGAAATTGGTCAGAAAACTCACATGGGGTGGGCCACATGTGAGTAAAATATTGAAAAAAATAAACCACCCCCACCCCCTGCTGTGAGTGTTCTGGCCATTTTCTGGCCATTCTGCTTCTGTACAAGAAGTAGAGTTCAAAATTTACCATCCTCTGCTCTGACCGATCTTTCTCACTTGGACCCGAATGACCATAATAACCACTATTCGTGGCTGAAAATGAATTTGTCAAACTAGCGTTTCTTTGACCTGCTTGATCTAAATCCAATTCACCCGATTTATGTCCAGATCCTTGTTTCAGTCGCTGCATACTTCCACTAAAATTAACCTGTGACCTGGAAACCAAAGCATTCAAAATATCCCTTCTTGAAATGGCATCCACAAATACTATACATATCCGTGCATAGACTGTACAAACCGTCCTTGCCAACAGCTGGACAACCTTATCATATGTCCGGTTCAAAAGCGAAACATCCTTTAAACGCCTCACATCTTGTATCTGCCACACCAATTTCTGTTCAAAAGCCTTCCTACTCTCCTCATGCTGGTTCTGCTGAAACTTCTTGGTGGCCACCTCCAGCTCATTCATGACCTCAATTTCACTGTACAAACTATCTGTGGAATTGACATATCTCTCCATTTTCCTGACCATGCTTTCCATATCCTTCACCAAGAACCCCAACTCTTTCACCTCAATCAACCCAGAAATAAGGTCCCCATACACATGCTCAAACCCCTGCAATACTGGGATTGTATATTTCTTCCCCTAACCTAGACACAACACTAGCAACCCTATTCAAATAATCTAGTTTCTCAACAAGGGCCATCTCTAAAAGCATCGAATCATCAATAGAGACAAGGACTTTTATCTCCTCAGACTTCAAGATCTCATTTTTAAGCTTAATAATCTCAATATCAGTCAAGGATTTATGCAAGTGAATAATCTTGGACATCACATTAGCAACTTCAAATGAAAGAATTCCAATAATTGTTTTTTCTTGCTGACCTTGTTTCTTGGATGATGACTTTTTTGAATTCTCAACAAGCAAAGCATGCTTTAAACTGCCACTCATCTGATTTCCCATCTTTAATAACCAAGGCTCAGCCACCATTTTTGCCTCTATTCAACAAAAATATCAGAATAACTGAATTTTGGCCTCAGAACTGGATCGAAAATTTTCCAGTCGCATTGGCTAAGAAGATATGCAAGCAGCTAAAATGCATTCTGGGTACTTCAAGAAAATAAAGCCCAGATTTTTTTCCCTTTAACATGCAACTGCGAACGGGGTAAATATATAAAGAAACAAAGAATGGTGGGGTTGGGGACAATTGGTTGATAATCAAGAGGGACTTATCCAGTCAGGGGTGTGCGCGTGCGTGTTTATTCGGATAGATTTGTAATGTAATGATTTTTCGAGAAAGGTCATGACAAGTGGGAGGGATTGAAAATTTATTATTTATAATAACAAATTTTTATTTTTTATAGCATCACTTGAATCTTTTTATTTGGTGAGATACCATTTTCACCTTGTTGACTTTTTTCTTGAAAAAGTATATCTAAAGAAATAAGAAAAAAAATGTATAGTTTGAATATAATAAAAATGAGAAACTGAAAGGTTTATTATATTCGTGGATATACATATGATAGTAAAAAAAGTAATGTTATTCATAATTAACGATTGCAGTAGTCATCTTATATGACAGTTTGTTATTGAGACACTAACTTGTTATTTGAGATAACAAATTACAAGAAATTAATGTATCAAATAACAAGATGTCACGTATGACGATTACTGTAATCGCTAACTACAAATAGCATTATTCTAATAAAAAAATGTATGGTAAAGAAAATACAAGTTTGCATATGGAAACTTGTCTAAATTATAAGTCAATTTGTCCAACGGTGATCGATAGTTGGAGTTGGTGACTTGTTGGACTAACTTTAATCAAAAGATTCAAAGACAAGAATAGAATGACAAGAAGAAACTATGGCACTAAGACAACTAGAATATGATTTTTTTCAATTGGGCTTAATTATCATTTAATGGCTCCAACTCATGTGTTTTAGTGGTACCTAATTTCTAGCTCTTTGTGAAGAAAAAACAAATCCCTTTTAGTTGAAGGAAATCTTGCGAATGTAAATTGGCTGCGCGATTCTACGGCATGTTGTTTCATAACTTGAGACCTTCTTTACACGTCAAATCTTCAGTTTACCTAACTTTTCTTCTCACGACTTTATGGAATTTTTGTTACTTGACCAAATGTACAACTAAAAAATTAATTATAGTTTAATCAGAAATTTCATTCCTAATCATGGATTTGATAAATTAATTATAGTTTAATCAGAAATTTCATTCCTAATCATGGATTTGATAATTGTAGCATGCAAGTCCACTTTGTCTTTATTTAATATATCAACCACTTTATTTAACTTCAACGTATTTTTCCATTGTCGGTCTCAGACTCAGGTTTGAAGAATGAAACAAGTTGCAATATCTAAATGTCAGATGTGGATTTGATGATTTTGACAGTCAGTTTGTCTTTTATCTTGATAAGAAGTAAAGTTTTGTAAAGACAAACTGAAAACGATATAAAGAACAAAGAAACAAAATTGTTTAATAGGCTATGGAAGGAAAAAAAGAATCACTCTAACAAGTTGGGCCACTTGGAATTTTATCGAATGAAATAACAACTATAAATAATTCTTTATTATAAAATATTGTTGCGCCTTGCCTATTACTGTCTCAGTCATGGGAGGGATTGTCCAAATGTTTCGTCGACAAAAGCCTCCAAGCAGGGTGGGGGGGGATACAAATATTTTGAATTAAGAAGCACAATTAAACTTGTAAAAATGCAGCGAGGAATTTTACATGCGAAAATTTACATCCAAAAAGTCATACTCCGTGTGAATTTTACATCCGAAAATTTATTGTATGACTTTTCGAATGTGAAGTTTCTAAAATTTTTGACGTCTAAAATTTCCTAATAAAATGATATAAATTATATTGAGAAATTTTTGTGCAAAAATAATAAATATTGATGAAATAATTGAAAGTTTTTAAAGAAAATATATGCTTCCTTTTAAGCAGGGGCGGACCCATTAAGGGCCTAGTGGAGGCAACCTACTAAATTTTTGCCTTAGAAAGGAAAAAAAAAAAAAAAGCCCACCCATGACCCAACTATCGAAGCCCACCATGAAAAAATGTATATGCTTGAAAGAAGCCCACACTTCCAGGCCCCTTTCTTCACCTTCCCCGAATTCCCAATCCCTACCCTTTCCCCCAATTCCCTTAACCCCTTCCAATTAGCGGCTGCTCAACTACAAATCGTTGGTATTATCAGGTTGGTGAAATATTTTAATTAGATGTTAAGAGTAAAAAAATATGCTAGCAGCCACCATTTTTGCCTCTATTCAACAAAAATATCAGAATAACTGAATTTTGGCCTCAGAACTGGATCGGAAATTTTCCAGTCGCATTGGCTAAGAAGATATGCAAGCAGCTAAAATGCATTCTGGGTACTTCAAGAAAATAAAGCCCAGATTTTTTTCCCTTTAACATGCAACTGCGAACGGGGTAAATATATAAGAAACAAAGAAAGAAAGAATGGTGGGAAAAAGAAAGGGGGGCAAGTGAATAATCTTGGACATCACATTAGCAACTTCAAATGAAAGAATTCCAATAATTTGTTTTTCTTGCTGACCTTGTTTCTTGGATGATGACTTTTTTGAATTCTCAAGAAGCAAAGCATGCTTTAAACTGCCACTCATCTGATTTCCCATCTTTAATATCCAAGGCTCAGCCACCATTTTTGCCTCTATTCAACAAAAATATCAAAATAACTGAATTGGTTGATAAGAAACAAGAGGGACTTTTCCAGTCAGGGGTGCGCCCGTGCGTGTTTATTCGGATAGATTTGTAATGTAATGATTTTTCGAGAAAGGTGATGACAAGTGGGAGGGATTGAAAATTTATTATTTATAACTTACAAATTTTTATTTTTTATAGCATTACTTGAATCTTTTTATTTGGTGAGATACCATTTTCACCTTGTTGACTTTTCTTTTCGAATTTCATTTTCACAACATTTTTGTAAGTTGGGTGACCATTCGAAAACATTATAAAATTCAATATTTATCGAGAAATATTTAGAAAAATTAAGTGACAACTGTTATATATTTAACCAATTTCATGATCTATTACTAAGTCCATTTTACTTTTAAAACACTATAGAAAAATCTGAATGTCTAACCATTTGCAAAGGTCCAAAGGATTCGAAGTATATTAGAGTCTGTTTGATTGATAAATGTGGAAAGTCTTTGTAAGTTGAAAAATAAAACTCAAGTACCCCATAAGAATGCATTTTTCATGAAATTGATAAAAAAAACAAGTTTAAAGTTGTTGAACTTTGGAATTCGAACTCCATTTTCACTTTCGTATTAAACAGATAAAGTAAAAAATTGAATTTTTCGAATGTGATATTTTCCATTGAATTTAGATCAATCAAACGACCCTTATTTTATAACTTTCAATTATTTTTAGTTTTTAAAAAATGTTGAACCCCAACCTTGAGGTTCCCCCACCGCCCAACCTCTAGAGTATTGTGGAAGAGGTAAATCGTGAGATGTGCCTCAACAAGCCATGGTACAAGAGCTGTCATACTGGTGCCCACAAAGAGTCCAATTACATACCTTATAAGAGGCAGGAATCAAACACTCACACTGGGTTGCTAGCTCAATTGATACTACCTCACTCCTGTCATTTGCACCACTGAACTATGCTCCGAGGGCTAATTATTTTTAGTTTTTATTTTATATTTTGCACGACTTTGAATCTTTTCATTTGGTGAGATACGTATCATTTTCGCCATGTTTAAATTTTTTATTTTTAAAATAATATTTAAATCAGACTGCTCATATGGGCAGTAAGAGAATTTGAATGGGATAGGTAAAACTAAGGGGCCGTTCTTTTTGTATTTCAATTTTGAGTTTTGAATTGATTTTGTATTTTGTGTTTTGAGTGTCAATTTTGAAATTATTGAAAACACGTTCTTTTTGTCATTTTGTAAAATTATTTCTCAAAACACTTGCTCCAAAACGCATTTACATTGTTTTCAATTTTTCCCATTCTCCAGCAAGTCGGAAAATGTCCCCTCCAGAGCCACTGTCTTCTACCTCACAAACTGACCACCACCCGCCACCTAAACCACCAGATCCCAGCATCATTCGAACCCTCGACATCCCTCTATAATGTCCGCAGATTATTTGGCCTAAAATCAGCTGAAATTAGCCAAAACAACTGCACTACCACTCACTGTTTCGGCCTATAAACACCGCCGCCAGCCACCTTTCCGATCGCGGACCACCACCAATCCACTCCTCTTAACAAGGCGCATCCAATACTACCATGGGTCACCTTCGATTATCTCCAGAATAGGCCGATCCTATGGAAACCGCCTTCGATTATCTCCAGAATTGACTGATTTTATGGAAGCCGTCGGTGAGTTTTGAAGCCATGGCCGGAGTCGTTTGGGGGTGGGCAATCAACCGGTGGTGGTGCGCGACCTTGGGTGTTGTCGGATGTTGAGATTCTGGCAGAGACATTTTGTGCTGAATCAGTTTTTGAGGATTTTTTTTGATTGATTTTGGAGTATGATTGGATTGTTGTTTGTGTGGTAATTGAAGATGTGATTGAGTGCTTCACAATGATATATTAATCCGACCGTTTTGGAGGAGGTTGGCCGGAGTTCAGAGGGTTGGAAAGTGGCGGTGGAGTGTGGCTTGGCAGAAGACAGGGGGAGACGTTTTGGATGTTTCCCTGTTTTCCACTGGCGGACCATTTTATGAAGAAAACGCCCAAAACGGCATTTTGGTCGTTTTGCGTTTTCTTCACAAATTTTTTTTATGTTTTCGAAAATCCGTTTTCAAAAATGAAAAAGAGAATGCGTTTTCACCGTTTTGAAAAATCGAAAACAGAAAACAGCTTGAAAACGACAAAGAAAATGGCCCCTAAGCCTTTGACATTGGATACGAACTAGAAATGAAAATTTAAATAAAAATATTAGATAGAATTTTTCATTGGTCGAGAAAGTTAATATATGAATTTTTTAGTTTTTGCATGTGGGAAAGAATTAAAAATACAAATAAAATTAGAGATTAGTTGAAAAAATTAATATGTAAATAACTTCATTGTAAATTACACTAGTAATCATACGTTAAAAATATTGAAAGAATTAATTTTACACAGTACATTTTTAAAAAGTTAACTTTTCATCATTTTGTATAAAATTTATGTAGCTTAATTACATTTTTGTGATTATTCTTAATTAAAGGACAAACTAAAATTTATCTAATGTATTGATAAAAAGATGAACTAAATAGAATTAAAGTGCGATGCCAAGTTTTTTGCATTTTAAATATTATGATAATATTAATTTGATTTTCTAAACTTAGTATAGTATAAATATAAAGAATATAAAAAAATTAAAGAAAATGCTACTAAATCAAGCAATATAAAACATTTAAAAATCATATTTATTAATTTTATCAATTTTATAAAAATATTTGTAATGGCATTATAAATTTCAACTAAATTTATTAAATTCTAAAACATTTATTTATGTTAGTTTTTTAATTATTTCTCAACCATATTTGAAAAAAAAAATCATGTAAACTTATAACAATATTATAGTATTGAAAATTGCAACTAGCTTTATTAAATTATCCAAAAACATTTGTATACGTTGATTTGTTAAGTATTTATCGATCGCATTTGGAAAAAAAAATTATACAATAATTATAAAATATAATAAGATTTATAATGTTTTCATCTAAATGAAATGAATGAAAAAAGTATATCTTAGGAAATAAGAAAAAAATATGTATAGTTTGAATATAATAATATTATGACTCCCAGATGAAACTGAAACTGAGGTAAAATGAGAGATCTGCATTTTTGTTTCATTTGAAAAGCTATACTTTTGTTTACAAAAAACAAAACCAACAAAAGTACGAACCTTTGTTTCATTTGAAAAGATATAAAGACGTGAAAAGATGAAAAAATCATTATGCTTTGGGAATTGAAAAGATATAAAGATGTGAAAAGATGAAAAAATCATTAATGCTTTGGCTTAACATGATCATTGTGAAAATTTTACTATAAAATTATTTATTTTGTGGATATATACGATAGTAAAAAAAAAAAGTAATGATATTCATAATTAGCGACTGCAGTTGTCATCTTACGTGACAGCTTGTTATTGAGACACTAACCTGTTATTTGTGATAACAAATTACAGGAAATTAATGCATAACAAGCTGTCACGTAAAATGTGTAAATTGGCTGCACCGATTTTAGTACAAATGATATTTACATAGCAAGGCGTCATGTAATAGACATAAATACATTACAAGTTAAAAATATGAACCCGGATAAGATTAGTGGGCAGTCTTCAAATCTGAGTCAAGTTGTTTCATAACTTGAGACATTCTTTACACTTCAAATCCGGCGCAATATTAATTATTTTCTATTTTGTTGTACTTATTTTTACTATTAACATCCAATCCTACATTTGTATATTTATGATGTCAAAAGATGACTTAGCCCTCATTTAAAAATGATTATTTAAAAATCGTTTCTCGCACGCTCATTATTAACAATACATTTTTCAAAAATATCATTTTCGCGCTTCTTAATAATTTTTACTACTTTTTAATCACACATTCTTGAAAAAAAAATCACGTACTCAGAAAATCAGTTTCGCTTAAGGTCTTATTGGAGTGGTAAAAAGCCACATCCAATATCAACAGCTCCGTTAATTAGCTGGTTAGAGAGAGAGAGAGAGAGAGGAGGAGGATTTCATACTTTTGAGTTAGTTTTCCCTCCAATTGCATGTGATTTTGTAATCAGAATCATTTCTTTTAGGGTGCGTTTGATTGCAAAGGTGGAAAATGGGTGGAAAGAAAATGTTTTTCAGGGAATTGAAATGTCTAGAAATTGTTTTCCTGTGAATTGTAATTAATTGTGTTTGATTAGTATAATTTTCCACCTAGAAAATGTTGAAAGTTTGGTATCCGTTTGACTTCATTTTTCATGAAAATTGTCCATTAAAACGATAATTTTTTCTACCATTGGGTCTAAAATTTGTTTCAATTGCAAAAAAAAAAAAAAAAAAAANATTTGTAGTAATTATTTGTTGATGTCACGGAGTCGCTTTTTGCCCACATATTTTGTTGTTTTAGGTTTAGCAATCGACAAGTTTATACCTACTTCAATGTCAAAAGCCGTCAATTTGTTAATAAGTACTCGATAACTAATGATAAATATATTTGTGGTTAACAAATTTATGGGTTGTCATCGTAGGATAATTAAGTGCATGTGAGTTGGATTAGACATATCGAGTATTGGAGGATTAGAATTCCTCAAATTTTAATTGAAAAAAAAAAAGTTATAATGAATATTTTTGTTTTAAAAGTTTTAATAGTAAAATGAACAAATTAAAGTTATTTATTTTAATTTTTATTTCAATGTGCGCTACTCCATGTATAATAGATTCATATATAAGGTGTGTTTGTCATCCTTTAAAAATTAAATTGTTTGCTATAGTATCATTTTTCCACCACACATTCACACAATAAAATATTCAACACACAAACCAATAAAATTTCTTTAAATTTTAACCACACATTCCCCAAGAAATACTATTCAAAACTTGATTCTTTCTCCCATAATGGGAGACAAACAAGGGCTTAAAGGCTAGCACATTTTCATAAATGGTTGATCGAGATGGATGAACTGTAATCTTAACCTA